GACCCCAATGTGTACAAGTCCATTTCTAGGTCCATAGTTGTAGGAATTCTCTCTGGCACCTGTTTGCACAAAAGGCATTCAGGCAAGTCTTCGTCACTCTTGTGAGTCTACTGGTGCTCCTGCTCCAAAAAATAAAGGGTTTTGATTAAAGCAAACACAACAAGAGCAAGCTAGGGATTTTTAATCATAGGAAGTCTTGACATAGTTTTTTAACGTTGAGGGCAAATTATCCATGGGAAATAACTCTGATTGTTGCTCCATTATTTGTCCTTAAACCTAACTCGGTACCTTCAGACAGGTATAAAATCCTCCCTTTGCAAACAAGTGATACATGTTTTCTTCTTTTATTTCTCAGCCCTCCCTACTGAGGGTTTGGGTTATTCTTGCCAACATGATTTTTGGAAGTGGTCTTCTGTGCCTTTTCTGTCAAACAGTGTATTTTCCATGATTTCAGTTTTTCTGCAGCTATTTAGTTTTTCTTTGATGGAAGTAGAAATAATACCTAAATAATCACTTTGATTTTTATTTGAGGCAGCTCTGTTGGGACATAACCTATTGTTCAGATCTGTTACCTTTTACACAATAAAGATAAATTAATTACAGGGCTTTCCCCTGACATCCAGGCTCTTGCCTGCAAATGTTCACATAAAAGATGAATGGCAATGAGGTTCTCATTTCAGCTTGATGAATTAGCCTTTTCACTTCAGTTCCAGGAAAGTCTACTTCATGGTCAACACTCTTGTTTAGGCCCTGCTGTGTTTTTTCTCTCATTGAATTCAAATTGTGCAGCTGCTGTCAAACCAGCTTTGTTGGAGCAATCCATTATTTTGAACTGCCCTTTAGAATTCTTCACTTTTCCAGGGAATTTGCCACAGTGGTTTGCCAGTTAGTCAGCAACAGCATCTTCCTAATTTTCCTCTGTGCACATCACACACCTGGGGCTGCAGGAAGAAGTGGCAGCTTTGTGTACAACACAAAAGGACCAGGAGAGCATCCCCTTCTCAGTTCAGGGCATGATCCTTGTGTTCAGGGTAAGCTAAGCTGCACAGTCTGATGTTCTCAGCCTACTGCCACTTTTTTTTTTTTTTTTTTGTGTGTGTGTGTGTGTGTGTTGGGCTGTAATACACAGTTTAGTTAAAACTGGAATATATATGGGGCAGGAGGGAAATGTGCAGGGGTGTTTGCTAGGAGTTGCACACACGTGGATTCACTTTCAGTTTGTGAGAGGGTGGCACAAATGATGATGAACCTCCCTTGTGGCCCCCACATCTTGCGATGCCCCGAGCAGGGACACCCTGTGTCCAAGGGCATGAGGGCCATTTTGCCTACCCACTCTGCTCTGAGAGGCCAAATGGATTACCTGGGTAATTTGAAAGCTGTTGTTTACACAAAACAAAGTCAAAAGTCTCACCCCTGTCAGGTGCTATTTCACGAAGAAAGAACATCTTGTTTCTTGTTCACAGTTCTTGACAGTTTCTTATGTTCCTTTACTTGTACCTTTAAGTGTCAACACCTTGATCAATTTTATTACACCTGCCTGTGGTCAGAATATTACTAATGGTGGCTCTGGTTGGTGTCTGGGGACAGGAATAAGTCATTTGTAATGACTGTAAGTGAAAACATCAAAATACTGGTAGGAGAATAATTGCAATAGTGTGAAGCTATCATTATTGAGGTGGCAATATTTACCTTTATATCTTTTCATAAAGCTTCCCAGACCACACTGACTTTTCTGGCTTCTTCCAGGTTTAAGAGGTTTGGGTGCTTTTGGAAGTGCTATCCCAACAGGATGCCAAGGCAGAGGGATGGGTGGCCATGGTCACCCAGTGACCTTTCACTGGCTGGCAGTGCCTGTTCCCACTGTTTGGGAGGTGAGTGCAGGAGGGGAGGTGAGTGTCAGCCAGCACTTCTTTGAGGAATTGTCCTCAGCTCCTGCACAATCCTGTGTCCTGGCATGCCACTGCTGCTCCAGAGCCCTCTCATCCATGAGAGCCCAGCAGGGACTCTTCTCCTTGCAGTTTGCTGCTAGAAAAGGAAAATACCTTGGGAATTTTCTCTGCTCTGCCTGCCAACTCTTTGAGGAAAGCTCTGATCTCTCCAACCATGAAATAAATATCACTGAGCCATATGGACACCAAGCAGTATAACGCCCCTGTGGAAAGTCCTCCCTGCTGTCTCTGGTGCTGATTATCAACTCAGCTTAGAGCAAAGCTGAGCTTTTTAATGCCCCAAGTGTGATGCACTCCCCTGACCTTGGGAATTATTTTTACTGCTATTTTGGCTGAATCTGTCCTTGGCAGGTTGCTGGACTATAAGCAGATGCAACAGAAATGGTGGAGACAGCTAATTTCAAAGGTACACAGAGTCCTTCCACAGCACACGGGAAACATGTTTAATGTTTGGAAATCTTCTTGTGTCATGAGTTAAATTTGGAACTGCAAATGGAACAGTAGAAATTCCTTCAGTCATCTGTTCTGACAGAAATTATACTAATGTCTGTATTTACATTGTTCTGTGGTATCTGTGCTCCTGCTGCCTGGGCTTCTCTGTGGGGTTTTTTTCCCAGCAGCAGTGGTGGACAGAGTGTTTTGGCCAGGGGAGCACGCAGCTCAGCTGGAGCTGCTCGCCCTGGAACTCTCGCTCCCTGGGCTGCAGAAGCAAGCCGTGCACTTTATTGAAGGCTGCTTTGCCTCCAGGCCCTTATGTTTCTTTATTTCCCCTTAAATGGATGTTTTCCCCAAGGACAATCCTTTTAAAGCAGTTCAAACAGGTTTCCAATTACTTTTCATCACATTAGTCTTCTGTTCTAAAAATCTCAATCTCAACATCAAGTCCATTTCAAGAACTTGGGAAAGACTTTTTTTCTACCTGTTCTATTTTTGTAAGATGAGCATTTTAACAAAGAGCTTTCCTCTCTCCACTTAGAAAACCTCAGTAAATTGGTTGAAAAGAGGACCAGTCTTTCTGCTCTAATAACAAGATGTGCTTACCTCTCCCAGTTCATGCTCTGGATACTTGCTGACAAATAAACTCATGTGAGAGAAGACTCAAATATTTTGGATGAGGAAGACATTTAAATACAGGAACTTCAGGGAAGTGTCTCACATGGGGCAGGTCCTTAACCTGTGCTTATGCCAAGTTGTATCCCAGACAACATTTAAGCAGGTTTTCTGAAATCAAGGCTCACAGAGCGGGTATGGCTCAGACTTATGTTAACACAGCCAGACTGTGAGATGGGATAATAACTTATATCCCATTTTTTTAAATCATGAAACAAAGACTAAAACAGATTCCTGAATAGTTGTTACATCTGTGACTCTAGTGTGGTTGTTTATTTGCAGGTCCTACAGAATTGAGTTTCAGAGGTACCAGTGTTAATTAGAGGCCAGTTTTGGCAATTACTATGGAAGTGTTTCTCTTCCCGTCTGGACATGGAATGAAATCAGCTCCATTTCACTCCAACAGCCCATCTTGACAAAGTAGTCACCATTCTCATGCAGAATATTCAAATAATTCCCTGAAGTGCAATGTAAGGAAAAAGGAAACAAAAGATAATTATAATTTGCTGTTGGAATTCTCAGAAATTGGAAGTTGAGCTACTCTTCAAAGCCCTGTTTTGATGTGCAAGCCTTGTCCTCATGAGGGTGCAGGCACTGGCACAGTGCAGCTGTAAGACAGAGGCCCTTGCTCAGGTGCATGCCAGGGGCCACAAGCCACTGGGCTAGGAACTCATTTGGGGGTTGCTGGCTGAAAAACAGAACCCCTCTGGGTCCTCACCCTGTTTTCTGGAACTTGTCACACGGTTAATATTTGCAAAGCTTCTGATTTCATTGTTTAATGTAATTTTATTCAGTAAAGCTTCCTCATTGCATAAAGGTCTTGGTATTTAATACTTAATAGCATAAATGCCACGTGAGTCTCAGGGAGAGGATAAAAATTACATTTTAATTTAATGTGCAGTCAATGCCTGCTGCTCTTTCTGCATTTAAAGGCTAATGGCTATTTCAAGCCCAGCACCATCTTGCAGGGGCAATGCCTGTGTTCTCTGCCAAAATGGCCAGTCACCATCGCAGGACGTGTAGCGTTCCCCTGTACAGGTGTTGTCACTTGCCTCCAGCTGGGAGTCCTGTGCTCCATGGCCGTTTCAGGATGGACACTCAGGGGTCATCCACACAATCGTGTCACTCCCTCGGTCTGGCAGCTCGTGACAAAGGACAGTGGAGCAGTGCCCACAGCAGAGACCTCCTGCATGGCCTCAGATGTCTGCGGTGCTGAGCTCACTGACACCAGCACAGGACAACCTGGGACACAGCCCTACGGTGCACACAACATGTACCCACATCTGTGGTAGTAATCAACAGGTCCTGTGTTCTGCAGGAAAGGGTTTGGGCCAGATTTTGCAAGGATTCAGCATGTACCACATACCTGGAATTCCACATTCGTTTACATGTTTGCTTATTTATGCTGCTGCTTTCACAGTGATAATTTCTTACTTTTTCTTTGATGACTTTTAGCATTTCCTTTCACTTTCTGCTGGGAGACGGTTTGAGATGGAAATCTGCACCTAAATTTTTTGTTCTTGAGACATAGCAGCCAAAAACATGTTTGACTTGTCAGATAGTTTATAGACCCACCCTACAACCAGCCGTACACATTGTCCCTGCGATGTAATGTCCTATTGCCTCCGTGAAATTTGTATGTATATATATATATATATATATATATATATACACATATATAACATTTCAGATTATGTAATGTCACCATCTGCTGCTTTACATAAACAGTGTTCAGCTTCCACCTCTGCTGCTTTGTGCAATTGTGTCCCCAGCCAAGCCACTGGGTAGGGTATGGAGTAGGGACTGTTCTGTTTGTTCTCCTCTAACTAAATACCTCTCCCCTCACTAGGGCAGAGGTAGGGAGCTTACAGCCAGAAACACCACGTATTGCAGCAATACCCATTTGTTTTCCACCTACTGTCTTCATTCTTCCATATGCAGACCAGCTTATGTTTACTTTGATGGGCAAAGTTGCTGCAGGGTCAAGAGGAAAGAAGAGATTGGCAGGAAAAGAGAAAATCCACCTTGAACAAAGTGTCTGCAATAATTGGCAAATGTTGCAAAAATGAGCTGATAAACAAGCAAAAGGTAAGAAGGGAAAGGTAAGCTTCAGAGCAATTAATTAAGATAGTAAATGAAAAAAGACCCAAATTTTTTGCAAGAATTTAACAGATGGGAAGGTATACTGGGAGCATGGTATTTGTTCAAGCAGTGAGAAAAACATGGAAATACAGGGATTCAGGACCATTTTTAAAAGGAACTGGTTTGTTTTCCAGGAATAAGCCTCAAGGAAAGCAAGACACCATTTAATTTCTTTGCCCCCATTTGTATTTTTGCTGTTCGTGAAGTCCAAAGAAATGGAAGTTCCCTTTGCAAAACTGGAGAACCCACACCCAGCTCTGCTCTTCAAGTGCAAGCACCAAAGCAGTGCTTTAATTAACCTGCAGTGCAGCACACCTGAACAGATGGATTTGGGATGTAACCTGTATTCTGCTGTGGAGCTGAGCCTTATTGCCTGGCCGCCCTTCGGGGGTCCCTTCCTACTCCCCTTCAGCCCCAGAAGGAGCCAACTGCTTGTGCTGGTGCCTGAATTCCCTCTGTGCCACAAAAATGTGAGAAGCCCCTCAGGGCCAAGCGCCAAGCCCTCAAATGGGCTCACTCATCCTGCACAGCTGACAGTCAGTGGCTCAGGGGAGACACTCCTGGAGGGGAGGGATTAGTGGGTGCTTAAATTCGGGGAGCTGACTCCTCCTCTTTGTCCCTGAAGTTCTTTGGCAGGCTGAGACTGCACAGGAGATTCGGGTAATTGGAATCTGCCTGGGGAAGGGGGGCCATCATCATCCTAAAGTTCTTCTGAGGACTCCTAAAAGACTCAGCTCTAAATTCCAGAGCTTTCTTGCTCCTAACCCTGCGAGAAGTCATACTTTAATGAGTATGTCATCACCCCAGTTTGTTTTTTTCATGACTAAAGCATGCTTGACTGTTTGGGGTGGGCAGTTTTGTAAGAGTTAGCGCTAAGGGATTTGGGGCAAAGGGGTTGGAATTGCTCCATAGAGGCAGGGCTGCGTTCTGTATTTCAATTTTTGGTGGGTTTATTTCTGATGAAGAGCAAGGGAGTGATGTATGTTATGAGGAAGTGATCAATTACCTGGCATGTCTGGAGCACTGAGGATTTTATCACATCAGGATGATGGTGATTGATTTTTTTTTTTCTTCAGGTCTGCAGCAGAGCAGCAATCTCTGGATGCCTGATTGCAGCTGACAGGTAAGTTGTGGAGCCAGCTCACTAGTGACTGTGACAGACCTCCCTATCTCGTATCCTCACTTCTTTTCAGAATGTAATGGCTTGATGAAGATATGTTGTCAGGGTGATAGAGATACAGAGATTATTAAATGAGGACAGTTTCGACTTGCTAAATTACTTTAATTTTGCAGGAGGCTCTATTAGCTCCTATTGCCCCCTCCCCCCCTTTGTAGGGGTTAGAGAAAAAAGCAAAGGGGGTGGGCTGCAAAACTGCAGCAGTGTTTTTCCTCCAAAAAAGCAGAGCCCAGGAAGAAAAGTGGGAATTGCACCTGGCTTTACCTGCCTTGCTGGCACCATGCTGTGCAGAGGATTAATTTAATTTATCCCAGCAGGTGTTGGGTGCAGAGGGCTGTTATTGACTTCGAGGGGATTGTGAAGTGCAGCACATTTGGTGTCTTGTCCTTTGCTGGTCTTGGAAAGGATGGAGAAATTACTCTGTGTCAGGCTGCTCTTGCCTGTACCTGGTTGTGTGGGCTCCATCCCACTGCAAGGGAGGGTTGTGGCATGGGGGCTGGAGTTTGTATGCAAACCTTGAGAATAAGATCTTTGTAATGAAATGAGCTGATTACCACTAGGAAGAAACTTCATTTATTATCTGATTTCTTAAAGCTTGAATAATTTTTAGCCATTGGCTTTATCATCAGGCAAAATAATTATTTCAATTATTATCTTTAATAACTTTGTAGGAAATCTTCTAAATTCTTTTCCATGAATCCTACTTCAAATGCACCTGCAGAGATAAAAGCAGCAAACTTAACCCAATGAATAACTGATAAACCTGAAATACCAGTGCCTTGCCTCAGAACATCACAGCTCAGAGTTCATCCCATGCATGTAATCAGTGTCTGTGCTCTCTCTGGCCTCTATTGGCGGCGAAGCTCTTTTATGATATTCTGTCATTTATGACAGCTCCTCCAGAGAGTTCATTAGGGTGAACATTAATGTGGCTGAATCCAGGAAACTGCTTTTCCTGACATAATGCCAACATCTATTACAATGCTGTGCCGTGCAGGGGGGAGCTTTATGGTTGTTTAATGCACGTGTGTGTGTTGCAAATGGCATCACTTTTTAACTCTCTCTGTAAAGCAGTGTCTGTTTTCTGGATTGCCACTACTATAAATACATGTAATGGGGAGCCTGAGCAGCTGTTGTGTTCAGCAGTTGTCTATGATGATTATGAATTCATGGTTGTGGTTCCCAGTACTAGAGAGCCACAATTAATCTATACTATGCTTCAGACCATCAACGTGAGTGCTGGTGTTTCCCCTGCTCTATAGGTATTTCTTGGAGTTCCTCATACATAAAACCTGTATTAGGAACTGAGTCAAAGGGAAGCAGCAGTGGCAAAGAAATAGCCAGTGGTTTTCCCTTCTTCCATCTATGCTCGCACAGCTGTGTAGTGCAGGAGCAGCTACTCAGAGTCTGCAGTTGGGTCACTTGTTTCAAGCTTAGCCATGGAGCAGTGTGGAGGGCAGGTAGGATGGATGTTGTGGACTCACTGCTCCCATGCAGTGCAGACCATGTGTGTGCTTGGTTTTAAAATAAAAACAAAAGAAAGCAAAACTAAAGCCCCCAAATCCACGGAAAAAACAGTGTTTATGACAACAGGAGAAACATGAGGCTGAGAGTAATCTTTCCTTGCGTGCTTGGCTCAGATAGAGAACGCTGTAGCTGTAAACTACTTCATGCTTTTTCCCACAGCCTTATTCTAATCTCCTTTCTGGGTCAATTCCCAGGTAAGAGAGTTGTGCCATTCCATTTTTAGTTGTTTTCAGCTCAGTCTTCTGATTGCCAGTGTGGGGCTGGCTGGGCTGCCAGGACATGCTATAATGTGTCCTGTACAAGCATCTTGCCTGGTCAGAGCTGCCGTGAGTCCCGTGCTGAGGAGGCTGCATGGACACGGGCATTCATCTTAGTCAGCTGTAAGGAGCCAGGGCTGCCAGGGGGAGAGGACAGCAGCAGCGGATTCAAACTGCTCCGGCTGTCTGCACTGTGGTCTGGGGTGGAGAGGTCCGAGTGGAAGACTTGGCTAAAAAGCAGGAGAATGACTTTGGGGAAGGAATTCAGGGCTGGTGAATTGCTGCACTCAGCATGAGATGAGCTTGAGAGTCCCAGTAACCTTGTGGGAGGCAGGAAACCCCAGGAATGTCCATTTGAGGTTAATTAGGTTCAGATCAAAGAAGCAGCGCATCAGGAACTGCTGAAGGCTGCTGAGGAGCTGGGATCCTGATACTTGTGTGGGAGTAGGAGACTGAGCACACCAAGTCCTGTAGGATTCCTGAGAGAGAAAACCTGTGACTCCTGCTGCAAGATGTGAACCCAGAGCAGGATTGTTCCTGGCCAGTCCCAAGGAGCACACACCTTGTATGGACAACCCCTGCTTTGAAGAGGCTGTGGCTTCAAGGGAGGCAGAGCATCTGGAAAGCAGGAATGGTAATTGATGGGGAAGTGAAATCTCAAGGGAGCATGAGAAAGTCCTGTGCCTGTTCCAGCCCCATGCCAGTGCCCAGTACCAAGGTGGCAGGAGCCACTGTGGCCAGTGCTGCCAAGAACTGGGCTGAAGGCACAGCCAGGTGTGGCCCTGTGTTGGACTGGGAAGGAAAACCAAGCTGGGTTTTCCAGCTGCCCTCTGCAACACTTCCAATTTTATCAAATGGATTTCATTTCCTCTTTCAAGTCTAATTATGTCAGGAAGAGGCAGCCAGGTTATAGCTTTATTTTTAATAATTAGGAAGATTGGTGCAGGACTGTGGAGAGGTTTCCCATAGTTAGTTATTTCTTTAAATGGTCTGGATTAGTATCCCATATAGCTGATGAATATACTGGAGTGACTGGATTGATTGATAGTAATTTCAGGATGTGACTGGAAATTCAATTATCTCTTAAAAATGATGAAACAAACAACTTAACCTGAGTTGGTTTTGTGGAGCTTCAGCAGCCTTGACATTTTGCTCCATCCTGGAACAAAACAACAAAAACCCTGATTTACTGGGCTATTAATATTTTTTAATTATTTTGCTTTGCTGCAGAAAAATAATTTCTGTTCAGCTAAATCAATGCTTCTGTCATTTGTATTTTACATGAAGATTGATATCTACCCAGCACAGGAGTCTGGCTTGTACCATCTTGTGTTCTCTGGTGGTTTGAGTGCTAACTAATAGCACAGTTGCCTTCAAAAAGGCCCGGGGAGCTCAGGCACAGCCCTGCAGTCCCTGCCAGCCCGGGGAGGGCAGGCACAGCCCTGCAGAGCGGGGCTGGGGAGAGGCAGGGAGGAAAAATACCAGAATAAAAAAGCCTGATCAGTTAGTTGGTGAAATCCTCTTTCTCTGGTTGACTGTATTCATTCTGACAGGAGCCTCTCCTCCTTCCCTGGAGTGCTCTGGCAAGTGAGATTCTTGCAAATAAAGCAAAGGATCTGCTGAATGCACAGCCATGCATAATTTAGGAGTGCTGGAGCCTTCTGCGCATCTCATCACAAAATGGCATTCAGTAAGTGCTAACACAACTCCTTTGTGGATAGACATTTCTGTGAATTTCTTGTTTTTCAGTAAGATTTGGACATCAGACCCCTGCCAGGCATTAAAAATTGACCATCAGGAAGTACCCTAACACTTAACTGACACATTTGTTCATGTGTGCCCACAATCAAAACAAAGAAGTGGGTTGGCTTTGAATGATAGTATGAATAAATGATGGAAGACTACATTTTCCTTGAATTCACACTTTTCACCTATAAGTCATAAAAACAAATTTATTGCTAGAGAAAATAGCTGGAAGGGGAGATAAGGACATCTCTTTCATTCTAAGGGTGTGGAAAGAAAGTAGTTTGTCTCTGGACCAGGTGTGTGAGAGGAAAGAGCTATAACTCTTTAACTTATGTGTATCTGTTCCCACCAGGTAGATTTTTCATGCAGGGAGAAGGACCAAAAAAATAATTAAGACTAGTGTTGATATCTACTTGGACTAATAGAAGGTTGTGCAACATCACCTGAATGAAAATCAAATTTGTGGTTAGTAGGTGGTTCATCCTGTTCTAACGGTGCAGAATGATTAATTCTTCTTTTTCATGCCACAAATAGTAATTAAAGAGAAATATTACATAGCTGTACCTGGTTTTCATTATGCAGTTGCAACAGTGTGTAAACCAAATCTTTTATTGATGAGAATAGCCATAAGTTTGAAAACTGAGTAAAGAGCATGAAAACCCCTCTGAGGCTCCCTAGAGACAAGTGGGAAATCTGAAATTATTAAAACATATGGTGGCACATACTGATTACTGACAGCTCCTGCTGTGGCTGTGAGCCCTCATTCCTCTTTGACTTCCAGCTTTTCTAAGGATTCTCAGCTTGCTTGGTTCTGCCCCTTCCCTTGGTAAACCTGCTGTGAGGGAAGCCCTGCCCTGTGCCCTGTACAGTGTGACCTAGCTGATGGACTGTCTTGCTGCAGGGACAGTTTGCTGGTCTCCGTTCAGCAGCATCCCCTAAGCCCCATCCCTGTTGGGTGATGGGCAGTCTAAAATTCCACTTATCTGCACAACCCCTGAATCACAAGGCTTTATTCTACGGCAGTTTTTAAAAACCCTCATTGTGTATCTGATATTAAAGCTGGGTGTTTAGCCCTGGTCTTTGAGCCCCAGAGAGGGAGGGAGTATATGTGTATATCTGGTTGATATATTTATGCTGTTTGCCAAGTCCCTGTGGGCAAGGATGTTCACCACCACTCAGTGGCCATCATCTACTGCCATTCTCTCTTTATGTGTGCATATGTATTTACTGATCTTGATTAATATTTATTTCTCATAAATAATACATCATTGTGGTTTTGTGCGTGCCATTGCAAGCTGCAGGAACACAAAGGGTAATGAATGTGGTAGTAAAGCTGCTCCATCCCTGCAGAGCTGTCCCAGGGCCTGGAGGCTGGCTCCTGCCCTCACATCAGCATCCCTTCCCACTGCGTTCTGG